TCTCGTAAACGTATATTTAGTACGTACGTATGAATATAACCATCCTAAGTGTATGATAAGTGTTAAAGATGGTCCCAATGAATATTGTGGCTTACTGTTGAAATACATATATATGTATTAAATGTCTCGTAATTACCAATACCATCGTAACAGTCATGTCATCAGTCAATTACAACGTTAATGAAATGTCGAAATGTTTTATATATTCATAAAAAGTTTCTATAAATGTTCGGATACTTTTCTAAGCAACTATAATATCTCTCTGCGTTGTATGGCAACTATCATTCATGATGTTTCTATGTTCATCTACAAACAATTTACTCCATGTTACAACATTATTAGACGAACAACAGTTTCAAGGGGAATTTATTTTTCAGTTTTCAGACTGGTAGAAGAGCAAATCGACGATTGATATGTCCATTAATATTATTAAAGGAGTCAAGAGTATTATTAAAGAAATAGAGAGATATTCTTCAAATTGTTAAACAAAGTGTGGCGTAATGCAGTGAAATGATTACGCAAATGGAACGTTATTAACGAGATGAATTTATTTTTAATGACTCAAAATCGAAAAATAAATTACATAATAATAATAAATATATATTATAGAACCTAGGTGAAATAAACGTAACAAGAAAAATAATATGAACGAATCGTAAAACGAAATTTTATAGGGGAAGATGCAAAATTACAGAAAGATACATTCGATAATGTGAACTGTTTTGAAAAATAATTGCAAATGAAACGTTGCAGTTAATTACTGCCAGCTACGAAATTTCATACAAACTTTCGTATAAGGTACAGATTATAAAAAAGTGCCGTTTGAACATGGCGCGCGTGTTCGTTCAACATTTTTCCAACAATTTCAGATACGCGTTTCGCCTCAGATAAAATATTCTCGCCACGAATAAGGATTTACATATATTCGAAGCGCAACGTGCCCGAACATATTAATCATGCATAAGTATTAGATTGCAACATATGAGATGTCCTTTCGAATATATTCAATTTCTTGTTTCTGGCAATATATTATGTATCATTTACGTCTGTGATTGAATATTTATTTACTCTTTCCCTCTAAGAATCTTTTATTATAGTAGTATAAGAATAGTTTATTAATATTTTTATAGTACGAATTAGTACAATTATAAATTCGAGCGAAAAAATAATATTAACGAACATACTAATTGAAGTGTTGCTCAGCAAGAAAGAGAACTCCGCTCTTTTATATTTTTCATTTTTTGTTATAGTTACATCGTATATTTCATCTCAAGAGAAAAAAAAATGTGATCATTCATTTGGTGTAAAAAGGAGTTCATTCTAAGTAATGATTACGGTGATTTTGCAAGAAACATTATGAATTTATAGCATGTTTGAAAATAATGTCTAATTTGTAACTACATCTTGTTAGTTTATTAAATTACATTTAAATTACATTAGAATTAAATTACATTTTGTTAGTTTATTAAAACTGTCAGAAAATGGACTAATTATTGTAAATTGTTCCTTTAACTTTTACTCGTCCCTTAAATCTTCTTCTACCAGTTTAAAAAAAAAAATGAGGAAGAAAAAACAAGTCACAAACTCATTAGAGAAATCAGAGAATGAAAAGTCTTCGTAGAAGCGATTGTCACACTCATTGCGATAAAGAACAAGAATAAATATACGTTAACAAAAGCCGAAAATGTTGTACGATAAAGCTTTATTCGTAAGAAAGCTCGTCTAATTTTTCTATTCTAGGCTTCCGGAAAGCATAAAAGAAATTTTGCGTCAATGAAATCTGCACTGCATTCTACAATCAATTTTCAAATAAAATCTTTGGAGAGAATAAAAATGTCCTTCGAACGAAATTTCAGGCTGCCTCTATGAAGAGTTAATAAATACATCACACTATATCGATGCTCGTCTGAACAAAATCATCCCATTACTATCCTGTACCCAAATAATATAAACCAAGGATACTCTGTGCCAATGAATTACACTCGCAATTTACAAGAGGATTTCTACTGAAAATCAGTTTAATCGTTTAGCGAAGAATCAACGTGCGAGCAGATGAGAGGGTGATAATAAAAATAATTACTCGAGAAACGAAGTGAATATAGATACACAAATAACTGAAGAGAGTATCTGTAGAAAACATGAAAAAAAAATTTTATCGTGTCACATTCGATTGGAATTTTTTCTCTTACAAATCAACATCACTGATAAACTCCCTCTCCTGAAATACATGTTCGACTGTTGGCAGTTGCAATGTTTTCTAGAAATACTCGCCTATACTATATCGAGTTTCCCCTCGTGTAACGGACGATCGATGATCAGATGTTGATTGTTACATCAAGAAACAAACGAGTGAACGCGAGCACGGCGCAACAATGACTTGGTGACGCGAGAACAAAAGAGCCACTTGTCCGAAAGACGTGTTCTGGACGTGTCCTTTGTGCTTACGGAGGAGCATCGGCATCGGTGGACGATGTATCGGTAACATTATGATTGTTCGTGCACACACCGCGGAGGAGTGGATACGAATTTAGACGCAGCAACAATCTATAGATGAGGCAAGGTCGTGCCGCTGGCTTTTTCACCGGGAAGCCACTCCTCGTCGTCCGCCATTCTATTTCGAGGATTTTCTAAAATTTATCGCCCGACACCGGCAGCAGTCATCGTTATACCGCTTTTAATACACTGGCGCCATCAATTTGACCACTATGCCGCGTGGCGAACCACTATGCTCTCGCGATACTCGTCCACGCGAACCACATTCAACCATATAAGTATTTCCAACGATTTCGATTTGCAGCGTCAAAGTGAGGATTTATAATTTAATTTCACTTCTCGCTTTCAGTGTGAAAATCTTATGATAATATACTAACCTAATTGCTTCATTGATTCGAATTTTGACAACAAAAAAGAACGTTTGCTCCATTTTTTTTTTTTTTTTCTTTTTGAAATTCTTTGTGTATTATGCAATATTGTTAATTTAACATTTCAGATTGACTTTACGTTGACGATTTAAACTTTTTTAGTAATATTCGTAATTATATTGATGATAACAGGTAAATGATAATTTCATAGACAGACTTAATGATAGACTTGGATCATTTTTATAGCTTTAAAACAAGAAGAAATGTACGTCTGTTGATTTTGTTTGTTGTTGCTGATAATTCTATTAATTAAAATTGTATGAAAATTGATTCCGAAGAGATAGATTGGATTAAATGATTTAAATCTGTCGAGGGCCAAGCAATACTTTATCGTGCCAGATATTATGAATACTTCACTTTCATTAAATTTTATCAAATTAGAGGATCTACGTGGAAAATATAACGACAAAGAATGATACTTTGACACTTTCTTCTAGCATGCTAATTAATATTAAGCGGACTTTCGATTCTAATTTTATTTTCAGAGCTTAATTCACATTGGATAAATAGAAATGAATTTTGAAAACATTGGAAATATAACGGGATGACATAGAATCGCGCTGCGATCTTCAAACAATACCACGTCTAATGATAGAATTATTGATTTAAAATTAGATGTTAGCATAGCGGCCCAAATGGTCCATTTAAGTGTTAAAAAGTTAATATTTGTCAATATTAACTTAACATTGGAAAATGGGATTTCAGGGTACAAACGATTGAAAAGAACTGCAAATGAAATGTGTGAACGGAACGTTGGTTCTTAGCGAGTTAAAAAGTTAGTCTATTCGACACTAGTATCTCAAAATAGTTAAAATATGATATATTTGTCTATATTAATTTTATATTATAAAATTATTCGTTATAAATAAACACGAGCTTGAATGACGTAGATATACTATCCTGGTTTTTCTTTCAGTTATAACGACAAGTAATATAGATTATAATATTATAATAAAACTCGATTATAATAATATTGTACAATTACAATGAAATTGGGGAATATATAACGCAGAAAGAATATTTTATTTTTTTCAATCGTAGCTTTAAAAATATGAATCTGCTGATTGAATTGCACTAGGTATACTCGTCGACTAATTGCAGAATGTAAATTTGTCTACAATAAGAATGTACCGAGCAATTTATAATCGTGCGAGCTGATGCTAATAATAGCTATAATGAACGTACGTTACATACTTCATTCTATTAACATGCATACGTCTTTCGAGAAGTAAATTCCTTTTGCAACTTGGATGGAAAAATTTAGAGATCTTTTCGTAGTTAAAAAAAATTCGTTAGTGTTTCATAGAAAATTTTTTATTTCTCACAAAACAGCAACAACCAATTAAATTTCTCCGTTTAAATGCCACAGACGTGAAAAATATGAATAGTAAATTTGAAAATTGTCCAGCAGAAAAGATCGTCGATTATCTATATCTTTCATTTTAATAAAAGAAAAAGAAAAAAAAATTGAACAACTAGACAATTCGCTTAAATATTACTTTCAAATAGAGATCTCGAAATATTGCCAAAAATTCTTCCATTTTCAAGGAGTATTGTCGTAGCATGTACTCGGTCGAAATAATTTCACTGGCAATCACGCGACGGTAAATCAATACAGATCCAACGAAGCTAAAAAGAGATGCCTTTTGTCCAACCAATTTGTACAAAATCTTCTATCAAATTATGTAACCTGACTCTTGCGTAATCAACGTACGTGCACGTACGTTCTATTCTGTTCGTGGTTACGCGTCCTCTGAACTGAGGCACTCTAAAATTTCGTGCGAAAAACGCTCGTACGTAACGACCCACACTGCTTATAATTTATATTTTTCCTAAGCACGTCTGTTTGGAAAAGAATGTGCCGACGAGTTTCAGCAGCATTGCGGACAGCTTTATCCACGGAACGTCCAGGACGAATGCCAGGAGTTTTCGGGATTCGTTGAAAGCAACCGCAATGCTGCCGTCGAGAAGGTATGAAAAAAAATTTCGAAATGTACATGACCTACAATGAGAACTCGACTCGACTCGAAATTCGTTCTACCAAATATCGGCCGCCGATTGAAAACTTGACGAGCTGGGATGCTGATCCTGAATGATCCTGACTGGCAACCACTGGGTTTATTCAATCGCACGTATAGCAATACAGACCACGGAAAGCCAAGAGCATCCGATATCAATGATAACCGCAACCTACTGATATTAGGTACGATTGTTATTGATCGTTCGTAAATCACATCGCGAGTGGATATTCGTAGGTAACGTAATTGCGATGTCAGCGCTTCATTCAAATTGTTCCCGCGGTAAACGCGTTGTTCCTGTACGAACAGCGGGGGGGGGGGGAATTGGAGAAACCCTTTGGGACACTTTTATGCATCGTCTAGAAACACTATCGCAGTGTAAAAAGAACGTACTTCTACTGTTCAGTGGAAATATTTGGTAAAAATAAGTGATCGGTAAGAAAAAAAAAAAAATAAGTGAGGTGTCTGAATTGTTATCGAGGTGTTAAAAATCATGCGACCGATATATCGGCTCTCGGGCTACTAAGTTTCAAATTCCGAGAAATTTTAGAAAAATTTGACACTTTAACTGTATTTATTGCTAGATTAGGAATTAAAATTTCTTGCTCCTTTTTACTTTTGGAATATCTGTCTTTTCGTAATTATCCAGGGCAAAATTATCTCTGACAGTATCTTGACGGCTACTCGAAAGTCGATTTTGATTATCTTGAAATATCCGACCATAAATATCGTTTTGTACGTATTCTTCTCCTCCCCTCCCCCCTTTCCTTTGATTCTCGAAGTTATTTTCACTGTCAAAAATTCCAGTGCTTCCGTGATAAACGATCAAGCTTCATTGGTTCTTCCGCAAACAGAAATAGAAATAAGAGCAAGCGAATCTCGTTCGATCTCGTTTAACATGGCGAACCTCTTAGCTCATCTCTTTCAGCCATTTTCAAGTGTAAAGGATCTTCCTTGCCCCGTGAAATAATAATTATTAAACGTTTATTTTTTTATTTGGAAATATGAGAAAGGAACAAAAACTTTAAGAACGAAGCGATAACTTCGGTTTTACGTAAAATCGCGTTTATGTATAGGAACATTGTGTTATCTTGACAGAGACCGTGAATTACTGATATTATGTAATGCACATATTGTGGATATTTTATCTCTACGACAGATTTTCCTCTAAACCAGGTTTAGGTTAGGTTTAGGTTAGGTTTAAGTTAGATTTAGGTTAGGTTCTCTCTGAAACCGTGTTTTCCTTTTAATACACAGCAATAGCAGAAAGGGTTAGAGAGTTTTATTACGAGTGAAACTTTTTCTAATAAAACGACTGCAATATTATTGGTTGTAATTACTATAAACAATAATTTTTCTATTTTCCGTTCAATTTAAAAGAAAAAAGATGTTCCGCCCGATTTTCGTACATTTTGTGAGAAATTTAGAGACGCGAAAGAAGCAATATGCGAAAATAAATATGGAAAGAAAGATACCTTTTACAATTAAACGACGGATTTTCATGCGTTTGTTGGAAAATTTCGAAGAATACACGTAGTGTGGAAAACAATATATAAAATATCGAAGCTATTATGAAATAATACTATTATAAAATATTTGGTACCTGAAACAATTTCCTATCGAGATTCTACATTTTTTCAATTACATTCTAAAAGAAATACGAAATTTTACAAACATCCACAGTGTAGCTATGATATATTTAATAAGCTGAGAAGCGAATTTCTTCAACCCTTTACCGATTCATTGAATTCTTAAGAAACACTTGTATCAAAAAGAAACATTTCTTTATCTCATTATTCTACTTTCTACTGCAGTTTTTTTTTTTTTTTTTTGTTTAATATGAGAGATTTCACTTTATATATAAAGAAATTGAATTATATAAATTATATAATGAATTATACAAATTAAATTGAATTTATAGATAAATTTATCATCTATATTTTATTATATAAATTGAATTAAAGTTATGTGTATGTATGTACGGTATGTAATAACATAAATGAGAAATTATGTGTGAAATTTACTACTAATGTACTGGCAAATTTAATATTATTATATAAAGATGGAAATATACAACATTGCCCAAAGAGTCTAATTATCATGAATTTTTCACTCATAACAGCCTTTATGAATTAAAGGGAAAGAACGCGTTAAACATCAATCTTTTTAGAAATATAAAAAAGAAGACTGCATTCGTCATTAAAGTGCATTCGTTTGTTGGCAATTAACGACAGTTCTATACTATAGTATGGTATAGTATAGCAGTTGCAGTTATCGAAAACAGCGATAGATATCACGTAACACAATGCATTTGTTCCTCTTTTTGTAAGTATACATGCGACTCTTAACATTGGACCGAAGGAAACACGCGATAAAACATAATGATTTGAAACGCTTGTGACCTTTGATAGACGTAGAAATTATGCTCAACACATGTGATAATAATGTCACTGTCCCGGGGTTTGTTCATTCGTCTCGTTCAAATTTCATTTCATTCGAAGGAAAAAGGATTGTGAAAAAAAAAAAAAAAAAAAAGAAGAATAGTCTCTAATCTTCTATCTTAAAATAATTTGGAAATCAAGAAGGAGATATCATCCATTTTCTCGAACGGCGAAGAAAAATAATAAGTTGGAAAAAAAGAAACAAGTAAAAGACGAATAATATACATTGTACGAGCTGCGTACAAATTCCGACTTCGGAACTTTTTATTCCTTTGCAACGAGTATGTTCACATTTCGTTATATGCAGTGTAACGCAGAAATTTCAGAAAAAAAAGAGAGAGAAAGAAAGAGAAGAGAAAAATGAAGAAAACCAAAGGAGAAAAAAAGACCAATTCTATTGGACTAATTTTAATCGAAATACAGAAAACTTGTAAACTGTTAACAAAAAGAATACTACAGCTAATACTCTCGAATATAATACACTCTTGCCGCAAATAGTTCTTCTTTACGTTGTCAAATATCACATTTATAAGACACTAATATTAATCACATATGTAAATATGTATATATGTATATATGTCATTTGTGTCGGATGAGAAAATTAATTTGTCATTTTTAACCGATCTCTCAATGTGCTTTCTTTTTTCTTGCGTGTGTGTATTTCAACAACTGACTCTTCGATCACGAAAATTTCCCAAAAGACGCACCGTTATCATCGTGCTTGTCGAAGCAACAGTAACAATTTCATTCGGATGCATTCGCCTCGTTACAGAATCGCAAACGTTGGTGCACAGACGATGGAACACAAAAGAATCCTAAATGTTACAATGCAGTTTTTCACGTTTCCCTTTCCGTGGAGGTAAAAAGTTGTGCTTAAAACTAGAAAAAAAAAGGGAAGGAGAGACGCGACGTGAGACTTCAAACCCTTGACGACCAATCCAGTATACTTAGGTATTGACGGCGCTTAGAAATTCTGCCAACAATTCGACAATTTAACAATTGATAAATTCGAAGAGAAGCTTGAAACTTTGCACAAACACAGCAAGACCGGGCATTGTCGAATTGGAGTATTATTCGAATGAAATTTTGATTTCATTTGCCATTTGCTATTTTATCTTGGTCAGATGATGTTAGTTAAGTACTAATACATTTGAAAAATAAATTATTTTATTATTTGTATTTTTGTTTAATAAAGAGGGTATTTGCCTTTTGTTGTTTAACTTCAGCAAGAAAATAATTTCTTTCTATCGTGATACGCAACCTTCACTCTAACACATGTATACTCACACATTTTCTATCATTTGTGAAATAATTCATTCTTCGAAGATATCGGAATTTTACTTGCGTTTATCCTTATCTCCAGATATAAGCTTGTTCCTTATCTCGAGTTTCGAAGCTAACCATTTGTTCTATTTGTCTATTATTTTCATCGTCAAATAGAAAGTGCCCAAACCTGAGATACAGCTCATGCAAACAAAACAGAAGATAATGTTTCTTACTGAAAAAACGTGATTAGTGTGCAAACACTCTCCACGAAGAAAAGAAATCTTGACTTTTTTATATTCATTTGTCGTACTCTGTATGTACAGAATGAAGAAAAAGAAAGAAAATTTTGCCAGCGAAGCGCAGTTTTTCGTTTCGTCGTATTGGTCATCGAGGGGTTCAATCAAAACAACACGAAACCGTGAAAAATTTCTGCGATGTCTCGAATCAGCATTTCGCCTCGCAAACAAATACTCGCCTTTTCCCTTTCTCGCGTCCGTCACTATTTACAAAAAGAAATACATACGTATGTACAGCGAATTTTCCCCGTTTCTTTCCCTTTCAATTACTAATTGCGCGCTCGAGGAGAAACCAAGGAAAGAGAAGAGGAGGAGGAGGAGGAGGAGGAGGAGGAGAAAAAAAAATGAGAACCGGCGAAACGATCGCGAAGAAACATCTTCAGAGAAGAAAACGATAACGACGGCTTAAATTGTATCGATATCTTTGCAATAAGATTTATTTCGTCTCTCTTCTTCTTCTTCTTCTTCTTCTTCTTCTTCTTCTTTTGTCCTCTCTTTTTTTTCAAATTAATATTTACAAAAAAAAAAAAAAAAAAAAAAAAATGAGATTAGCACGTTTTCATCAACGAGGTGACAACATGACCTACAACTCGAATTGCCGAGACGACATAATGCAAGTCTCTCACCGAGCTTCACCTTCGAAGTTAACCCGTACAACACATGCACATCGTGTATTATAGGAATCGTAAATCGGCTACAACGTATAAACATAAACGATCACAAGGCGAGGAACATTCCTCGTTTTACAATACACCTGACGCGAAATAGTGATGATATAATTTTCTTTCCCGTCCCTCCCTACGTTCATCCCCTTTCGTTCATTTTCCTTAATTCGAGAATTTCACATATATACTCAGAAGAATCTCTACTCTCTCTTTCTCTCCCTCTCTCTCTGTATCGTGTCATTTATTCAGATTCATGGTTACCTCGTTTCGTCACTATGGCGCAACAAAAAATTTGTCAACAAACGAGTTTATTATCCATCGATTCCTCTGTCTCAAGTAGTATCGTAGCTTCTTTCAACGGAATATACCTATACGTACATGTATATAACAATGGTCGCGTTCCATTTCACGCAACGCGGGCAAAATCTTGCAAACGTGTGGCCATCGATACGTCGAAGGAGATTTACACGCGTGAATTTCGAGAGCGAAACTTATCACCAAGAAACAGGCAATCCCGTCGATTCGATATGAAAATAACAATTTCTCTGAGCAAAAAAAAAAAAAAAAAAAGGCTGGTTTTACGTGATTCGTATCGGACAAGGAACAGTTCCACATCCGTCAGTTAGCAAAAAGAAACTCGTGAAAGTACGTAATAGCAAGTAATAGTGTCCTTTAACACATTCAAGGCGATTAACACTGGAACTAAACGACGATTAAAGTAATCAAATTTTGTAGCAGGAAGATTGAAATTAAGAAGAATTTAGGTAAAAGTTGATAACGTATATAAGGTAACACAAAACTTCTGTCTCAAGTCCCTAAACGGTGCGCTGCTATAAATATATAAAATTACAAATTGATCATATTTATGAATTTGGTAATTCTAGTAAGTTGAATGATTTCTTTTTCCTTCTTATTTCATATTAAACGTGCTCTGAAACTTATGTAACGACACATTGGTACTAAGGAACATAGTAACGTGAACTCTCAACGACCAGACTACGGATTCTCATGGAGAAATTTTAAAGTGCAAAATTACAAAGAACAAGCGTAACGCGAAAGAACGTATTAAAATATTCAATGAACAATGCTTTTTACAATATTTCTATTTAGTACGTAAAAAACTCTTCTATCGAGGTCCCATTTTCAATTTAAGTCGATTACATTCTCAAAGAATTTTCACAAGAATTCACAGTCCGATAATGACACATCGATATCGAAAATGTAAAAAGGAATTTCTTCCCACTGTGAGATTGGAAAGTTCATTGCAGCCCGTCACGAATGTGTTAATGTATGCAAACTATGATTGTAACAGCTGTACTATCAGCCATTAGACTGCGGATTTTTCTGCATTTATGAAAAACTTGACGATGCAGAGATACATAAAATGTTTGAAGTATAATGGTTAAATTAATTTTTCACCTAGGTTCCATTCCTTTATTTGTCTTCATAAAAATATAAAATCGCGTAAACGTCCGCAGTCACGTCTAATAATTTATTAAATGCAGACAAAGTTGAGGGAAAAAAGGCATCGCCGTTTTAATGTGCACAAGTGTTTAAAAAAAAAGAGAGAGAGAAAGAGAGAACGAAAATTAAAGCAGAATATTTCATAAGACACTCTACGAAAAGTTAACGAACGATGAAAAGAAATGTGTGTTTTCCATATTTTAGAAGGAATTCGCACAAATGCGCACCGAATGAAAATGTTCCACGCTCGACGAAATTATTCTTCGCGAAAATGTTGGATAGCGGGACCAATGTCGATACGATATAATACGTACAAAAACACCTATATTTAAATACGCTAATTATTTTGACTATGAACAATAAATCATCGTCGGCTCCACTTGCGAAAAATACCGAGAACGATATATGTATTCGTGCGCGAGTCACTATGCTTGAAAATGGCAAATTTCCATTAGTCGGATAATGAGCAATCTAGAATCATTATTTATCTTCCAAAATTCTCTGATTATTTATTTCTTAACATATTCTTTTCTCAATAATTTTGTAATTATTATTCAAACCAAATATTTATTATTTGCTTCTCAAACTTTGTCGAACTTCATTAAAGTCTGGCTTGTGCAATCTAGAATTATTATTTATCTCCCAAAATTCTCTGACTCTTTGTTTCTCAACATATTTTTTTCCCAATAATTTTGTAATTATCATTCAAACCAAATGTTTATTATTTACTTCTCAAACTTTGTCAAACTTCATTAAAGTCTGGCTTGTGCAATCTAGAGTTATTATTTATCTCCCAAAATTCTCTGACTCTTTGTTTCTCAACATATTTTTTCCTAATAATTTTATCTTCTCTTCCTCTAATGCAACTGGCTATCGCGGACAAATTGTCGATTGAAAACGAAAAACATGTCGACAACGTTGACACTGATTTCAACCTTGAGCTTGATTTCTTTCGTTACAACGATCAAAATTACCGCCGAACAAGGGAATAATAAAACACTGTCGATAGTATAAAAAAATGGACCTTTCCAACGTCTCATCGTCCTCACCTGGTGTCGTCGTCGACAATCGA